CTCGGCCTCCCAAAGTGCTGGGATTACAGGCTTGAGCCACCGCGCCCGGCCTAAGTTTTATATTTTTAGTAGAGACGAGGTTTCGCTATGTTGGCCAGGCTGGTCTCAAACTCCTGACCTCAAGTGATCCACCCACCTTGGCCTCCCAAAGTGCTGGGATTACAGGCATGAGCCACCACACTCAGCCGGAGTCCAGCCTTGACCTTGCAAAGAGGTCTCTATTCCCTCTTGGGCTGGGTGACACCAGTCACCGACTTCTCTCCAACCAGGGAACACACTAGGATGGGCCAGAATCCTAAGGTGGCCTTTTCCTTTTCAAAATTTTATTCTGAAAATTTTCAACTATACAGCAAAATTGAAGGAACTATATAGATAACACCCTGTACCCACCCCCAGGAATCTGCTATCAACTTTGCAAATATTGGCCTTATCACATATTAAGCTACCTATCCATTGATTTATCTAAGGTGGGTTTATACAACTTTATTTTAATTTTTTGGCATCCATTGTTGGCTATGAAATTTTATTGCATTTTATTTTATTTATTTTGAGACAGGGCCTCACTCTGTCCCCCGGGCTGGAGTACAGTGGTGTGATCACAGCTGACTGCGGCCTTAACTTCCCAGGCTCAAGCAATCCTTCTATCTCAGCCTCCTAAGTAGCTGGGACTATAGGGTTGCACCACCTTGACTAGCTAATTTTTTGTGTGTGTGTATTTTTTGTAGAAGTGGATTTTCCCCATATTGCCCAGGCTGGTCTCTGACTCCCGGGCTCAAGCGATCTCCCCACCTTGGCCTCGCAAAGTGCTGGGATTACAGGCGTGAGTCACTGTGCCTGGCTTATTTTTTATTTTTATTTTTTGAGACAGGGTTTTGCTCTGTTACCCAGGCTGGAGTGTCATGGTGAGATCATAGTCACTGCAGCCTTGATCTTCCTGGGCTCAAGCAATCCTCCCACTTCGGCCTCCTGAACAGCTGGGAACACAGGCACGTGCCACCACGCCCAGCTAATTTTTTTTTTGTATTTATGGTGGAGACGGGGTCTCACTATGTTGCCCAGGCTGGTCTCAAACTCCTGGTCTCAAGCAATCCTTCTGCCTCAGCCTCCCAAAGTGCTGGGATTGCAGGTGTGAGCCACCACTCCTAGCTAAAACTTTATGTTAAATGAAGAATTAAAAACATATGCAAGAATGGAATAGTATAACAAACTGCCATGCCCCGTCATACAGCTTCAACTGTCACCCACTCACAGCCAATCTTGTTTCATCTTTTGTGTTTGTTTGTTTGTTTTTTGAGAGAGGGTCTCCCTCTGTTACCCAGGCTGGAGTGCAGTGGCACAATCTCGGCTCACTGCAACCTCCGCCTCCCAGGTTCAGTGATCCTCCCACCTCAGCCTCCTGAGTAGCTGAGACTACAGGTGTGCACCACCCTGCCTAGCTACTTCTTTTAGTTTTAGTGGAGACAGGATCTTGCTATGTTGCCCAGGCTGGTTTCGAACTCTTGAGCTCAAGCAGTACTCCTGCCTCAGCCTCCCAAAGTGCTGGGATGACAGGTATGAGCCACTGCGCCTGACTTGTTTCATCTTTTTATGTCTACCTCCTTTCCACACCCACTAGATAATTTTGAAGGAAATTGCAGACATCAGACAGTTTCATCTCTTTTCAGTATGTATCTTTAAAAGATAAGGATGATCTTAAAGAGCATAACCACATAACACTATCACCTAAAAGAAAAAAAAAACAATGGTTTCTAAATATCATCAAATATCCAGTTTGTGTTCAGATTTCTTTGGCTGTCCC